AAATATGAAATCTATAAATAGAATAGAAATTTGATATATATTTAAATAATATATCCAACACATCCTGTTGATACATTTGCAAGAAAAAATAGGGTTGGTAAACTTTTAAACCATCAACCGTGAATAAACATTCTTGTTCATTAAGGCTATAGTTCATAGTTGGAGTTACTAAACATATTTAGACATCGTTCTAGAAACTATTACATGCAAATGTTTATCTGTGAACTTTTTTTAAAAAACATGGTTTTTTATTATATCTAATAATAGTAAGTCTATATTTGTATCCAACTTGTTGCACATGCATTTGCAGATAAGAGAATATGATAATGATGGATGATAATAGATGTGGTGAACGTGTGCGATCTTTTAATTTCCTCTTTTAAAAACAATGCCAATAATTTATGAAAGTAACGAAATATATAATATTAAATAATAACGTTATTATTATGATCAAATATATTCAAAGAAAGCCTGTTTATTTAATTAATAGCATAAATTAGTAATAAAGTAAATTTTATTTAATCAAAAAAAAAAAAACGAAAGGATAATTGACAAAAAGTTCTTTAAGTTTATGATCTACATAACCTAATACTTGTATATATATATAAAAAAGAAGTTTTACAGGTACATAATCTCGTTATTGAACCCTAATACATATTAAATACGATGATGTAAAAAGAAGCTTTACAGGTATATAATCTCGTTATTGAACCCTAATACATATTAATATGATCAATAAGAAAATATTTTTTGATTAATAATCATGTTTCTTTACTCCTCGCTCGCATCATATTAAAGGTTAATATTTGTTTTTGTATATTTTTATATATCTTGTAGAAAATAAATTTTTAAAGGAACTTTATATCAAAACAGTATTGAAATTTCAGTTGACATAATTGACAAAAAAATTGGTAAATTTGGTAGATCTCTCATTCAATTCAAAAAAATGTTGATCTATTTTCGGAAAAAAAAAATTGCCATGCATAACAATATATAATAATAATAATAATAATAATATTTTATATTAATTTCATCTGCATCTTTATAATTAAATATATCAGAAAAAAAAATCATTGATAAAAAATTTAAAATTTTCTCTTTTCAAACTTTGAAAAATAACTAATAGTAGTAGGTAAAATATCGTATTAAAGGTTTTAAATTTACTTTTAAAGAAGAAAGGTAAAAAGTGAAATAATAATTATTGTTATTTAGAATTTTACAAAATAAAGAAATAAATAAAATGGCCGAAGGTTGGGGAGAAGCACCAATCGATGAAAAAAACCTTGAATTTTCTTGGCCTGCCACCTCTGGAGATACTCGATCAACAACACAATATACCAGAAATTTATCCAGGAGTTAGGTTTACAGTTTATTGTATTTTATCAAAAGGTGTTCAACCATCAAATGAAATTATCTTGACTGCTAAATCTTCAGATGGGCCAATGAAACTTAATATACCAATAGACCATGTAACCTTGACTGGATCAAAAATTCATACACTGGCTGCCAGGAAACTTATACAAGATTTGGAAGAAAACAGATCATTTATTAATAAACATCCTAAATCTAAAGATAAAACTATTCCTGATTATATATTTAAAGATTATATTGTTAACTTGGGAATAAAATATAATCTAATCTCAAAATATACAAGGTATAAGCAAACAACAAATAATAATGATAATTTTTTTTCTTGTAAATTAATATATAAAATAATAATATTATTATAATTATTAGTTTTATTGCAATTGATGAACAATCAAAAGAATCAATTTCCCAGTGGCCACCAGAAGTTAGACATGTTCCAAATAAAGCATCATCACAGATGTCTGGATGGAATTATGGTCTTAGAACTAGTACTAATCCTTATGCTATAACCCCAACATCAGCATTTAACATAATGCATTACGAAAAACCTTTTGGTATTTATATATTTGCTTACACATCAGAAATGATATTTATCCATATTGACGTTAACATAAAATTTATTATATTAAAAAAAAAATGTTGTATAGTATCACATCAGGCACATCAAATGCAACAGTATCAGTTACCTCAACAGCAACAGCAACAGTATCTGGTACATCAAATGCAACAGTATCCTTTACTTCAACAGCAACGGCAACAGTATCTGGCACATCAAATGCAACAGTATCAGTTACTTCAAAAGCAACAGTTTTATTTTCCTGGTATTTATTTATTTACTTACATATTAAAAGCTATTTTAAAATATATTTAACATAATTTATTGTTAAAAAATGTTGTGTAGCATCTCAACAGCAACAGCTTTGTTCTCCCGGTATTTATTTATCTAATTACATATTAAAGGCTATTTTAAAATATATTTAACATAATTTATTATTAAAAAATGTTGTATAGTATCATATCAGGCACCTCAACAGCAACTATATTTTTCTCCTGGTATTTATTTATTTACTTACACATTAAAATGATTTTAAAATATATTGAAATTAACATTTAATTTATTATATAAAAAAATGTTGTGTAGTAGCAAGGAATAAAAATAACAAGATCAAGACTGGCATTTTACCGCGGGGGATTGGTATTTATTTACTTATATATTAAAAATGATATTTACCTATAACATATAATTGAAAACATTTGTTATGTAGGAAGAAAAAATTTACGGTCTCCACTTCCTTCTTCTAACGATATTAATAATGATCAAAATCAAAATCAAAAAGAAAGAGAGGATGTGATGAAAAAGGTGACGACCAAGAAAGAAATAAAAGAACATGAAAAACCCAATATTGAAACACTATTAACATTTTTGTCACTTCAATCATTTGATGGCAAATTTCAACCTAAAAATGAATTTTTTGAATTTTTTGGAAAGAATTCATTGGATGAATTCAACTTTGAAAATAATTTTGAAAATAAAGATGATATGCAGCAAAAAGTGAAATTATGTACAATTATTGCATTGATTTATTTGGAAGTGGTGATGATGAAGGATTTTAAAGATGAATGTGATATTTGTTACAAAAAATCTAAAAAAGCATTAACAACTAAATTTAAAGATTATAATGAAGAGAATGTCAAGAATGTTATGGATAGTGTT